TAAATTTAATTATAAAAAATTTAAAAATTCGGCAATAATTCGACATGCCGAATGACCAAATTTCGACTAGTGTATAGCTATCAGTTTAATATTTTCATTTGTTTTTTTAATATTTTTTTAAAATAAAATTTGTTTAATTTCATGAAAGTATTAATACAATTAATACTGTCTGTTTTAATTTTTAAATTGTTTTTTTTTTTATAAATGAATATACAATAATACAAATCTTTATTGATACTTATATAATTGAAATACATCAAATGTCTTTTTACAATTGAAACAATTATATTTGTGTTGATTGTGTCTGATAACAGCTTTAATTATAAACTAATATTATTTAATACCTATTACAATACTAGCTTATCATTTATCTTGAATCCAACTATAAGAATTATATATTAATAATGAATACAATATATCAGATAGGATTTTTATATAGGAGAAAATCTTATCACTAGTTTAAACCATCTAACCTATACAAATCTATTTACTAAGAGTTATATCTATTTCACAGAGATTAATAGGATTTTCAAATACTTCGATACTTTTCATTTGAATTCTTGGAAGAGATACTTGCTCTTTATTATCACCTATGGCTTCAGTAGATCTTTTTTCAAAGATTGGCTTCTTTTAAGCACATGCCAAATTGGAATAGCTTCAAACTAAAAAATCTTAAGAGAGTTGAGACGAGACTTATTGAATATAACATATATAAGATAACTTATATAATCTATATATGAAGAAACTTTACAATGATTATTATACCATAACACCTTAACAAAAAGGTCATAATCTTAATACCTATTAGATTAGCATATAAAATGACTTCTTATGAGAAACATTATATAACTGGTTATGATATCAGATACCATATTAAAATTTCTAAATATTTATTATTTGATATCAATAATATTATTAAAAAAATCATTAATAGTTTAACTCTTGTAAATAATAACTAATTGTCAATTTCTATTTAAAAAACTTTTCCTAAATTTGATTCTTTTATTTAAAGCCAGATTGTTTTTATTCTTATAAATTGATTAAAAGCTTTTTTTATTGTTCTATTTATATAAAATTGATAAGTATCTTGATAATTATTATCTATATTAAGTTTGTACTTTGAGTATAACCATAAATAATACTCTTATAATATAATATTATCTTTAATAATTTTATATTTTGTAATTTTTTATTTTTATATATTGAAATTTTAATAAAATTATAATATTGAATTAAAGTTTTTTTAGTTTGGTTTTGATTTGATTTTTAATATATGAGTTCTATTAATATTAATAGTTTTTTGTATATTTTATATTTTATTTTTATTTTTCCTAATCAGGCCATATATTTCAAATTTATTTTGGTACAAACTCGTAAATTCAGACTAACCCGAGGTACAAATGGATAGATATATATAGTGTCTGATAGATTTATACTAAAGGTTAAACTTATATACTGTATATGGCATACCCATTAATGGTCACTGGCCTCTAGATATAATTAAGGGGAATGAAAAAAGTTACTCTATCTTGAACCACGTTCCTTGTGAATCTCAATATTATCACCAGCCCTTCACTTAAGACTGTTCACCTCAACTTAATCTCTATAGTCCTAAGGTATAAAAATTTTTATTTTTTGGAGAAGATAAAGGGAAAGAATAAAGGGAAAGGAGAAAAGTTTATGCTGATAAAATAAAAACCTTACCAAAACCAATCACTAGCCTAATGAGAGCCTTCTTTGATCTTGAGGAGAAAAGAAACTAGCACAAGAGGGGAGAGGAAGACTTCCAAACACTTCTTATCAAGAGAACATCTCGACACCTTGCTCTTTCGTTTTATTCAATTACATTATCAGTTATACTGTGATACGATATGAGGCACATGTGGGATGTATTTTGTTTACATTTCTTTTACTTGTTAATCAACCAGTCCAAGATTTCAACCAATCACCATCCGGAGTTTTCGGTGTAACAAAAAATTCAGGGTCAAACTGAGGTAGGCAAAATTTCCCAGAAAAATCAAGAAAAATTAAACATGCTCGAAAGTGCTACCTATAGACATGTATGAATGGTAAAAAAGATTCATATACCTGTCTAATAAATTCCTATCAGCTTATCCACCTGCCTGACCAAGGAGTTTATTTATAGTGGACCCATACTTGGAAGTATATTTACTGATAGGCCCAACTAGCTTATCCACCCGCCTCAGCAAAGGTCTTATGATAAACCCAAGGTTTTTATGGATCTTGGGAAATATATTTACTAGTGGTTCACTTCTCTAAAGTTTCTGACCTGAGGAGAAATAGTGAAGGATGTTTTTCTATAGGTTTTTTCTTCTTATTAAGGTGTTCTCGCTGTAGACCAAATGGATAAAGTTTTGTTTATTTTGTTATTGAAATATCCAAAGTTTTTCAAAAAAGAAAAAGTAAACAAATGGGAAGGCACCTGCCTTCAGGAAGTAATGTTTTTAAGAAGAGTGTATAGACTTTATTATCAAAAATAAAAATTATTTTTGAGAACATCTGTTTTTTGGGTTGGCAAAGGGATTAGTGGAAAGAGACATATCTTGTAATATATATTTTTATTTTATTTTATAATATATATATAAAAAATATATTTCATTTTTTTAACCTAGCCGTGGAGATTTTTCATAATTTTTTGAAAGTTGAGTTTCAAAATTCCAACTCCTCATTCTTTCCATTGTTGCTCCCAATCCATGCAATATAACTTTGCTCTAACCGAGTATTGAGTAATTTCATTTTCTTCTTCAGTCAATACTATATTTTAAGATTCATAAGCTAGAATCTAACAATGATTCCTAAAAAGTAATCTACCAATAATAATACTGATTGATCATATCTTCATTCTCTTGTAACAAGGATTTTGTTCCCATTCCAAAAGACATTTCATCTTCGATTTCACTTTCTTTATCATTTTCATCTTCATTATATGAAGTATCATCGAAAATTTCCCTATCAATGAATCTCCAGTGTTTATAAATCCTAAACCAAATACGTTTTATTCAGCAGAAAAGACATGTAATTTGAAAATCCGAGCGACTTCAAGCAAAATATTAATTGAAATATTTACTCATTGAAACACTATATATATCAAATATTCTTCGAGTGGTCAAATTTGCATTGAGAACTTATTTTGTTCTGTGATTGAGACATACTCAAAATCAAACTATCAAATATTTTGGTGGTTGTTGGTATGTAACCACTACCAAATATTTTGGTGGTTGTTGGTATGTAACCACTATCAAATGTTCTAGTATTTTGACCAGTTAAAGTATATTCTATTTAAAGGTAAAATAAAGTGCTTCTCATTTAACTTCCGAATTACTTTAACAGTTTATAAAGTAAAACACGAAGTTTCTAATTTTTTTGTCTTACCTTTCCCGAATTTGTATTCATGGTCCCGAATCCATTCTTGTTTTTCTATTGGTCGATTTTTTTTTTTTTAAAAAAAAAATTATCCAATCAATTCTTTTTATTTTTCGATTGGACTATTTAAAAAAAAATCTGTTCCATATTTCATATTTTGTTTGTTTTTTTTTTTGTATCGTATTTTTTTTGCACCATATTTTTTTTTTTTTTATACTCTGAACTAGCAGTAACTCCGTACACCATATATCATACACCTTATACCGTACACCATATACCATACACCATATACCATATATCATAACGGTAATATATTCAAATAAACTTGAACGTATATGCACATATGGAATTAACTCACCCATAACAGAGACTTGAATATATACAGTATACACCGTGAATTAACTCAAGGTAAATAAATTTATTTAATATTTTATTTTATTTTATTTATTTATTTATTTTATTTTATTTATTTACTTTTACTTTTACTTTTTAGAAAAAATATGCCATCTCAAGGAATCTATACTGTAATTATTAAATTTAATAGGTTGGGTTTGAATTTTCTTTAAGAATTTTTATACTTGGAGAACTCAGTGCTTCATATTCAAAGTTTCCCAGGGATTTGAGTGTAATAATTTTTTAAAACATTGATTAAGCTGAAAGTATAGATAGTAGTCTAAAATAAATTTGGGTTTGACTATTTTCCTTCCATGCAAGCTTAATTGATGTTTTTTTTTAAAATTTAATTTTTTTTAAAGAATTTTTATACTTGGAGAACTCAGTGCTTCATGTTTGAAGTTCCCCAGGGATTTGAGTGTAAAAATTTTTTAAAACTTTAATTAAATTGAAAATATTTCAAGTTTTTTTTATTAATTATATTATTTTTTAATAAAAGAAATCAGAGCATTTGAATGCTGTCGTCAAGTTGGCTGAAATTTTAAGTGAACAAATAAAAAATGAAGAATGGAGTGATTTAAGAAAAAGTTTATATGAAACTATTTCTTTTAATAATTTGATTAATGAAATATATAAAACTCAAAATGCAACGTTAATTCCAGTAAGTTAATTATAATTAAGTTAATTTGATATTAAATTTTTTAAATTAATTAACCATTAATTATTTTTAGTTAAATAA